GTACGGCGGCTGCTGGCCGACAAATGCAAGGGGAGACGCGAGGAGCGGCAGCTGCAGTGCGTCAGAGCCATGGGTTCTTTTTCGGCTCATTCACAGGACTAACTCCATTTTTGTATTGTATTTTTTCCTTATTTTTTTTTACGTGTACTTCACTTTTTTTTTTTTTTAAAAACGTATGCTACCTCAGTTTTCAGAATGCAAGGTGACTTGCCTGTGAAGCTGCCACCACAGTAACAGACCGTGACAGCCGGAAGGTGGAAGTGGCTTTTTTTGCTGTTTCAGACAACACAAGAATAAGCTATAAACAAGCACTGAAATCCAGTCTGGTTCATCAGAAAAAAAAAGCAAAGCCCTTCGGTTTTTGCCTCCTAGGCTGCAATTTAGCCAGAAACCAGGAACATGTATGTAGTTCTTAAACTTCAGTTACCCAATCTAAGCAAAGTTAAACCAAAGTACCAAAATTAATGACGTTTACCAAATACCAGTTTACCTGATACTACTCTTCTGTTCAGAGGGGACAGTGCAACACCATCTAGCTGTTCTCACATTCCTCTGGCAGCATTGCTCCTTGTGCAGTTACGCCCGATAAGGTCCACCTTCACTCTGTCCTTACATTTTGATACTTGAGACATCCCCAGAGCAATCATCATCCCATTTCATATGTTATATATTTGCTTAGGAGGGTATTTTTTTATACAATTATGAACTATGGGAATCTTTGGGAATCAAGGCTTTGAAATTACTTTTTAAAAACAATGGAAATATTCCGGTTCTTTCACTCATCCTAACCCAAACTTTCTAAGTCCAAGCAAATTTAATCAGTATTGTCATGGGAAGTAGAAGGAGCTATGAGTTTCATTTAAAAAACAACAAAAAACCCCAAATGCTGATGTTTTGACCACTGAGGTGTTTCCTGGCCGTTCTGTAAAAATCCCCACCACACTAAGTTCATCACATTCTGCAGTGCAAACAACAGAGGCAGATGAACAGCAGCTAACCTGACATTTTCTTGTTCTATCTCTCTCGCATTTAGCATCAGATACCCCCAGCAGCAAGGCGACTGCAGAGGGTTTATTTAAAAGGATCTGTTTTTTCTTTTTTTCTTTTTTTTAGGAGCCTCATTGCAGGACATAACCAATAACTGTTTTAATTTTGCACTAATGTCAACAATATATCACATAAAGATTTCTTACCTTTGTGATAATACCCGTCACCGCTGAAAACACAGATTTTATCGATTCCCTGATCTCAAGAGCATCCAAGCACAGAAAAATCTGATGTATCCAGCCTTCTTCTGGTTTGTTCATAAGGAAAAAAAAAGGTTTTATGTTACAACTGTCAATAGAATTCCAACTTTTTAATTTTTTTTTAAGATTGCAAATTTATTTTCTGTAAAGTTAAGAAAATTAACACTTACCATTACTTGGAATGTAGTTCTGGATGGCATCTGAGAAAGGCTTTTTGACATCAAATGGAAAGTCAATTACTGAACTGTCCATTTTTTCTTCAGATTTTACGGAAGGAATCACTGTTGCTTTTGATTGTTGGTCACTGTCACATTCACTGTCTACAGCTGCATACATTTCATGTTCCTTCTCTGATGTTTCTTCTAGCAGCTTTCTTCTACTGCCTACTCCTGCAAATAATTGTGAAGGGAAATCATGCTCACTTTCAGAGGATTCAACTTACACACACACACACTTTTATAAGATATTAACCTCTATAGAGATTTTTATTATTATTTATTTTTCTCAGCTTAAAGCCAAACACTAGGGTGCTACATGAGAATAAAAATGTGCTACAGATTTATGATTTAAGAAATACTTGTTCAGATAATGGTCTCAGAACAGAGTTTGGAGGATAGAGCTTTAAGGAAAACTGGTGGTGTAGCAAAGTAATTAAAATCAACGTTCAGGAAAAAATATGCTTGATTTTGATAGTTTGTCTATAGATTCCCTGTTCAGGATTACTAGGTCTCTTTCTTATATTATAACCAAATAGAAGTGGGAAGAGCTTTACGAAAATAACAATTAAAAATGCCGTGCAGGATTAAAGATTAATCCTTCCTACAAGATAACAAACTTCACTGCGAAGTACAAGAAACCACAGGCATGTTCATGCAAAAGTATGACCAAAGGCACCTAGCTGCCTCAGTTTCACCGACTTCCTGAAGCAAATAAAATACCTCTTTCAAAACCCCCCACACCTTGCTCACCCATGTAGGAAAAAAATACCATTTACAAATGGGTTAATTTTTAATTCCATGCTTCAAGCCACTACTGGCCAAAGATATGCATCACAAATAGTCCAGCATTCAAAAGTCAGGAAGAGTAACTGGCTCTTGAACCATTAGCATTATATTAATTCAATATGTATTATCAGATCCTCAGAATATCATAAAGCAGTCATTAACAGTAGTTAGGCTCGCTACCTCTTGATTTTAAATCACCAGAAGAAGACAGTGTTGTATCTGTTGTATTTTTTTTCCTCAAACAAAGCATATTTTGTTCTTGCTAAATCACTGTTAGTGAAGCATTAGTCCAGTACCTTTAGCTGCAGTTTGGGCTGCACACTTAATTGTTACAGCAGACAAAAGCTGTGGCAGCTCTAGAACAACATTCTTTTTTTCCATACATTTTTCCTGCCCAGTGTCCAAATTGTGCCCCTTTCGTGCAGACACAATCACTTGTTTCCTCTGCATAACATTGTCTTTACATGAGAAAGCTGTGATTTAATGATAAATCTTTTCAAATTGCTGGTGCAGCTGCACCAGTTTGCTTCCCTCACAGAGACACTCTAAGGGTTGCTTAATATCTTGTTTTAACTTCAAATAAAATTGTTGGAATGTAATCAATGGGTTGGCTAAATGTGAGTGCTTATCATACAGTATTTGCCTGGTTTTGGGACATGAACTCTGCCCTACTATGATTTTGTCAATTTCCTTGTTTTCGCTGGATTCTGCAGCAGTATTTTTTCCAAAATGCCAAGCTGTTCTTCTTAAAATTTTTCTTGCATTATTTCTAAATTGATTTCATAATTTTCTGCACCTTTTGCAGATTTAGTAGTATCTTTTTCTTGTTCAGATTCCTTTTGTCTTAACTCCGTCTCATTCTTCTATGCAGTATTTAATTCTACTAGTCCTAGTGTTATCCCTATGTTCATTTGGGTTTTTTTGATGAAACACGTATCCTCAGACTTTTTTCTACAGGTTTAATTGTTAGTTTTATTAAATGTATTTGCAAAGAACCCTGACGGTCTGGTAAAAATACTAACCTGGCAGTGTTTCTGCTAGAATAACATTTTTGTTATTTATATGTCTGGACTGTTAAACTCTCTGATTTTCAGATTCTTTCTTTTTTTCTTACCCTTTCCTATCTTTTTTTATTAGCAGCAATCAGTTTTTCAGTATTATCCATCATTTCAGTTACAACAGCACTTTCTTTTTCAACACATACTTTATCAGCCGGGTTTCTGAGCAATCCAGTGTTCCCGGCATTTAATTAATAGCAGCCTGGCTTTCTAGTTTGAGGGTTTTAGGAGACACTAACTGTAATGCTTGCTTTTTTGTTAAAAAAAAAAAAAAAAAATTGTCTTCTATTTTAGAGGGCTTCTAGAGCAAATGTTCACATTTAGTCAGACTAATTACGTGACTGTTCTGTTGTTTCTATTGTCAATAAATGTTCTTTATAATTTTTTTTTTTTTTACTTGGATTCAGCTGATGACTTTGGTATTACTGTGTCTTTTGAAGTAGTGTTTGATGATGCCTTCCAAAACTCAATTCATTTTATATGTTTTTGTATCTTGGACTGTCATAATGGCTTGAATCGATAGGCCTAAATTTGGCGATACAGAATAATTTTTTCTTTTACTTTATCGCATGTGAGTGTTATACTGTGTTCTAAGATCTGAATTAAGACTATTCTCTGACCGATTCTTTGGTACCAGAACCTCATGTTGGGAATATGAATCTTCCCATGTTATTTCTGTTTCACCTCTCTGATGATGTTGCATGTTCATAGGCATTTGTTCCATTTGTAGCTTCTCTCCTGACAAGCTATCAAGCAAGAGCATCAAGCGTTGTCCTCTCTTTTACTAATCTGGTAGATTTTGTTGTGGTGGTATTTTTTCTTTCCCTCCACTGCCCTGTGTGTTATTTTGCACTGCCAGCTGAAGAGAAAGATCATTCTCTTTGGAGGTATCCGCATTAGTGTTACCTGATTCATTATGTTTAACCTTCTAACTTCTGGTGCCTTCAGTTTCTTTTCCCCATAGCATTTTATCAAGACTCATACTGAGGCCTTTTTTTGTCACGGAAGCTTAGTTCTTCTATTCTCAGCAAGCAGTTTTTACCTTCCATTCTGAAACTCCATATGTCTTCCAGGTGGCCAGTTTCTTCTGATGTTTTGGTACCTGTTAAACTGAAGCCACTAGATGAGGGGTGAGGAGAGAAACGTTGGTCTGGAGTCAGTTCTTGGGACTCCTCCAATTTCTGATCCTGTTCATCATTAAAAATATCCTGGCTGAAATCTTTGATATTGTCTTCATAAAAACCTGCTGGGTTGTTTTTATTCTCTGGTTTGTGAATTTTCTGTTTTACGTCACCATCCATTTTGAACTGGATTTTCATTGCTGAATTTTCTTCTGTATCACAGCATTCGACTGGTTTGCATTTTGCAGATATTTCCAGAGTAAGACTCATCTCACTGTCACATGGGGTCTTCTTGATGCCCAGATGATTATCTGCAGTTCCTGGTAGTTCCCCATAACTTGGTGATTCGTTTTCTGAATTTACCCAGTCTCGAATACAAGCATTCAGGTTATTTTGTTCTTTTTGCACTGTTTCAATTGTTTCCATTTTTGATTTTCCCTGCAGATGAGTTCCAGTTTCCACTGTATTTTCAAAATCTAATTTTGAAGATAAATGTAGAGAATCTTTGGAAACAGGGTCATTACAATAACCTTTTATATTGGTGTTTTGCTGATTTTCACTACTCTTAGAAACATGTTCTTCAGCACTGCTAACTAATTTGACAAAATGTTTTGCTTTTTCATTACTGCATTCATTATTTTGCACAGGTAATGAGGAGAACAGATTGCTTTCTTGGATTGCACCCTCATCTTTTTCAAACAGCTCCTCTCTAACTCTCTGATTTGCTTGTACTTTCATTGCTCTGTCATTATTTCCTTGTAGTATTTCATCATCATTTTCATTTTGAGCAGTTTCTTCACGAAAAAACACATCATCTTGCAAGCTCTGCACTTGCTCTTCTTTGACTGTTGAACTCCGGAACATTAGCATGTCTGCAAAATGACGAAAAGAGAAGAAATGGCTCTGTTCTTCAGCTTTGTCAGGCTTTTCTTCTGTATTTTTTGTGTCTGAGGGATCACAGTTCTGAGGTGAGCTAGGAGAAAAAGGAATCTGATCTGATGCAATTGATTCATGTCCCTGTTGATTATCATATGTGTCCATATTGTAATTAATAAAGCTTTTATAGATATTTGTATACCAACCTGGCTGGCCGTGTTTGCTTTCTGACTCCCGATTTCTCTCTGTAGCTTCAGTGTTTTTCAGCAGTTCACTTTCTGAGTCCAAGTCTTGTTCTGAACTGTAAGGTTCAGTTGGCTTCTCTCTGTCACCTGCTGGTATATCAAAAGATGATTCTGTGCTACTTGACGTGCTTTTGGTGTTGTTAAGAGTACGCACACTTGCCGGTATCTCCCTGGGATTTGGCACGTTACTGTTTGAATCTATTATTTCCTGTGCATAATTCTCTTCATCTTCTTCATCTGTCACTGTTGTAATTGTCTCCTTTGAGTCTTTGTCCATGTGTGATTCTTTGTGGTCTAACATCTGCACTTCTTCATTCTTACTTGCTTCATCCTCTGTTTCTCTGCTTTGCTGGTCTTCCATAGCAATGGTATCTTTCTTAACACGGCCAAAATTAAGAACATTGCTTAAACCCAAATTAAACCAATTAGATTTGGATTCTTGGGTTTCACTCTTCTCTTCTTCTTCTGTCAGTAACTCTGTGACTGCTGTTTCCTGTTCATTGCTGGAATGTCCAGGCACACCAGAAACATCATGGATTTGTGGATCATTTCTTTCTGATGCCAAACCAATGTCCACATTCTCTTCACGAAAATACAGAAAGTCCGTCAGTCCACTTTGAAACCAAACAGATGCTGGGGGTTCTTGTTCCTCCTTGTCATTTGGCTCCTGTACGTCATTTTCAGCAGTTACTGCTATCTTTCTGCCTCGGTATGTATTTTCTTCTAAAGAGTCAGTGATGGCTTCCAAGGGCTCCTCATTGTTTTTACTTCCTGTGGTGAACCATCCTGCAATCCAGCTAGACTGGGTTGGAATGGGTTCTAGTGGGAGACTGTTTTGCATTTGTGGCTCTTCAGTATCATCTTTTCTGTTCTCATTTTTTCTAACCAACTTTTTGCTTGCAGACTCCTCCTGAGTGTGAGATTCCTTGGAATAATTTTCAGGAACTGATTCAACTCTTTCTTGCTTTTGCATGGAGTCTCCTGTATAATTTAAGAGTTCATTTTTGTGCAGCTTTGATTCTGCATCAGATGATGAATATTCACTTTCTTGGTTGTGATCATGTAATGCGCCATCTCCATTTTCAAAAGCGTACTTATCTCCATGAAGACAAAGGAAATCAGTTTCCTAAAAGAACAATATGACCTTATAAAATGTTTTCATGTGTAGTTTTCTACAGCACTGTGTAGCACAGCAATATATCTTTATTCTCTTTCTTTCTGTGTAGTTGTATGCATGTATAACTTTACACAAAGGACTGTAATTATATTATTCATAATGATTCTATATCATTTATTAGATAAAAATCAGCAGAGAATAAACGGGGACATGGAGCAATAATGAAAAAAACATATTCTGAATTATCTGAAAGAAAATATGCATCGACACTTGAATTTCTAACTGGATATTAGATTTTCAATTGCTGTGAACTACATTGGAAAATCTGGTGATGTTGGTTTACCTTAGTGAGCACTTCAACTTCTTCTGCAATAAAAACTTCCTCAACCTTTACAGCATCTTTTGGGAAATAGCCAAAATCCTTTCCTTTCTGTAAAAAATATAAAAGGAATGAGAGCATTTAAACTTCAGTGATAAGTACGTTAGACTCTTGCATATATGGTAGAAAATTAGGAATAAACAAATAATAAGTTTATAGTATTGTCCCCCACTCCCTTCATTTTCTTTGGTCAGAAAAAAAAAAAAAAAGTTTATTTTGCCTTTACAGAAGTGTTCCATTTGCTGCTTCAGAAAGCAAGGAGAAGTATATTACTCCATTCTATTATTTTCCATATTATTTTTACGAACATGTGTTTGTGCAGAAGACAGTGTTGTGTGCACTGGTGGTCTCGGCCAGCTCCTACTAAAGTCAGCTGCAAATTTCCTATTTACTCAAGTGGGGGAAAAATCATGCCTTAATAACTAATGATGCATAATAAGTTACAAGAAAAAGTAGGATATGAAATCCAGGTACGAGGCCAGCTGCAGCTAAAGAGAAAATGGCAACAAAGCTGGCAACACTACAGAAAATAAGTCAATGATAACACCCAGAATCAGTCTGACCAGGATCAGTCTGACCAAGAAACCAACCACTAGCTTTACATCAAACCATTGCACGTAGCCTTTCATGGAAGAATACATCTTGGATAGCAATGAAGGGTGAGGTACCTGCAAAGATACTCTTGGATGAAAAAAAGAAGACAGAATTTCACTGTTAAACAATAAATGTGACAGATCATTTAAAAACCAAAAAGTTTATATGTTCAGGTTTTGAAGCACTTACACAGTTTTACTAGCAGTTGGATTTGGATCAATGCGTCTCTTCCTTTTTAGCTATAACATAACTAGATGGCTGTTCTAACTACATTGCCAGTTGCTCCAAATCTATTAAATACACGTGATAACTTCTCTGGGAACTTTCCTGGAGCACTGAACTGTGAAGTCAGGTCCCAATACTGGATCACTGATTAAGCAGCTGTAAAACCTTCTTATTACCCACAGACCTGTAGGTAGGTACCTGACCTGACAGAGCTGAATGTTTTTAAGGGAACCAGATAAAATTGTTATAGCCAAATGATTAGATGAAGGAGACAGAAAACTTGGATTCTGGTCTTGACTTTGTTTCTCTGTGAATGATCTTTGCCAAGATTTGATTTTCCCTGTCTATAGAAAGATAACAACAATGACCCATCTCCCAAATTCTATGTTGATCTCCGACTGGTTAATATTACAAAAGAGATAGAAGATCCCTAGAAGCAAGCAGACTGCAGTTGTTACGCTATTATTATACTATTGAAATTATTTATGCGGAAAGTCTTTCAGATTGAAGTACTTACACTTCCTGTCCACAAATTTTCATTTTTCCTTGACAGTTTGGAGTATACAATTATCTCTTCCCCTGTTTTGAAGTTAAGATACCGGCAATCGGGCCCCAAGTAGTCTGTAGTGGCTTGAACTCTGCTCATTGCCGCTGGAATATTATGTAGAAAGAAAGCACCAAATAAGTATAGCAGCCATTTTGTCTGAAGTCAGATAGGTTATTGAAGAAGTCTGATACATATAAATACATTAAAATGTTTGTTAAGCACGTCAATATGTGCTTTATTATGGTACTAATCAATTTATATCATCATGTGGAAAACAACTAATGCAAAAAAGCAGCCCTATCCTGTGGGTTTTTTTCCTATTTACTAGAGACATCAAGGAGAAAAGGTCTTGTCCTATATGGGCATTTTACAGTCCTTTTTCAGGCACGCTTTCAATGCTGAAATATGTGTGGAGAATTAGCAAGTTCAACTACTAAAGCCAATCTAAATGGCTAAAAACTATTTTCCAGGCATCTTCATAATTTTATAGTTTAGAAATTCTAAGTTAAATGTAGTAATTTCAGGGATTTTGTCCTTTATTTTGAATACATTTATATTATAAAGAAAATAGGTAAGTTTAAGCAATATAAATCTTAAACACATTGTCAAAAACAAAGTTTCCAATCAAAATTGAATGTCTTTAAATTATCTTTGTCTCCCCACAGAAATCACTACTGATGTGCTGTGATCAGTTTGGAGCCCATTCCACATACTGTTCCAAAGATCAACATATCTCTGAGCATCCAGAACCCACTGAAGTCAGGATGGCTCCACAGGCAAATAAATATCCATCAGCAGAGGAAATCTAAGGTCTCTTCCGCTTCAGGACAAGCTACCCACATTGAAAGTTTAACAATAAGGGCTGCCAAACAAGTGGAGACAGCTTGGAAACAGCTTCAACTACGTATGATTCTGACAGGTTTCACAATGGCAATCAATGGATAATAAATGGGGCGTTATTTATCCCTGCTCACTTGTGATTCAGTGGCTCTGCCTCCTGTAGAGCTATTTACTCCCCAGGAACTCCTTAACTAGTTACTGCTCTTACTTCATGTTGAAGAAGAAAGAATAAGTAAAGAGGATATATTAACAGTGTCCTTTGTAAAAAGCATTACAAAAAAACCCAAACCAAACAGTTTCCTTACAGTAGGAACAATAGCGTTTTGCGGAACGGGAATGTGAATGTACTGTAAACACAAGATACATAGTTTTCTTTCTCAGTTTATAGCCTACCAGTTTTGGTTTTTCAGATTTCTTTTGTACCTGTAAGGTATGAGTTAAAAATACTTTGAAACAGCTTTATCCTACTTGTTTTGAGGAAACCTGAGCTATTCAAGAGTATTTTTACTGAACTTTGATCTTTATATACTTGCAAATGTAGTTCAGCAAGTCTTTTTTCTCTTTTTGTTCGAAAAGTTTAAGCCTATTGCTCATAAACTTAGTATATTGACAACAAACATTTTCTATGGCTACTCGTTTTCAGTCTGTTTCATTGCTAATTTCAAGATCATGGATTGTAATAGCTGCACATACACCATAGGCTTCTTTTGAAGAAAGAAAAAACAAATAACTTTTTTACTTACTCTCACATTCCCGATCACCACACTTCTTCCATTCTGAAAATACCTTTGTACTCTGCAGACTTGTTAAAAATGAAATTACTAACAGCAAAATTCTCTGATCCAACATCCTTGACATTTTAGATTCAATCTGGAATACACTGATACTGTGAAAACTGCATCGATGTGCAGTTAGCAAGAATATTCTACATTGTTCTTCTTAACCTAACGAAACATTGCAAATAAATTTGTAATCCTGTTTTCCTTCTCTCATCGGCTTAAACAGAAGCACGCTATGTTAACCTGCTAATAATCTGCAAAGTCAGGTGTCCTGATTATACACATACGCTTAATAATTAACTGTGTTCTGATTAGCTAGGCTGATGTTTTGAATACAAAGAAACTAGTTCTGGTCACATCAAAATTTAGCCTCTGTCAGATAGGTTCTTTTGTCCCGAGTTTGTGAAAGATTGTGTGAGCGGAAATTCAACAAGAGTTGTATTAGAATTTTTTTCTGGATTATGGATGAATGTTTAATATACATCTTCCATCTGATTTTAAGGGGTACTATCAATTCTATGCTTATATTGATTTGCATGATTGCTAATATAGCTACTGACAATTTTCTAGCTTTTTTTGTTTAATAAACTACATTTTGTGTGCACTGATATGTTTTAGATTATTTGTAAGTGGTCATTGGTAACTCAGAACAGAAATCTTTTCCACATAGTGTTCTGGAGTTTTCTCACACACCAGATGCAAAGTACAATCCTTTAGCATGGGAAATACTTACCCAACTCCGATGTCTTTTAAAGGAGGTTGGCAGTTTTCAGGCTCTTAAGACAACTAGAAATTCCATATGCTATCTCTGCATCATACATTACAGAGCAATATACCAAAGCTAAGCAGGTATGTCCTGCTTTTTAAGGAACACTCTCTGTTTCTTAGCAACCTATTAACCAATATGGAGTTATAAATAATGTCTTCTCACATACAGGTTATGCTTTACAGTAATTATGCTGGGAGTTGTACACTGGTTATGAAGGTATGAAGTTGCACTATAAATGAAATCCTGCAGAGAGGTTTGCGTTAGAAGTAAGCTTTGCTTCAAACGTTTCACATCGTTGTCCTGCACTTCCTTGGTCACCTGTACACAATACATCGAATCTACCTATGAAAGGGGCTTCACCTTTCCTTTCCCGCTCTCCTGCACAAGGGTAGGCTCTTCCCTCTCCCTTCTTGATAGTGCCTTAAGAATCTGCATTCCTTCCCAGCCTGCTCATATTTGCAGTCATATGCTTCCCAGTGGGCCTGCCCCTCCTTCAGGACTGAGCATGACTCACGGAGAATTCGCTCTGCTCTGTCTTTCCGTGAGCCTAAGCTGTATCCTGCTTTCAGCACAGTTCTCCTCCCTCCTGCTCCACAACCCAAACCTGCCAGACACTGGTGCTCAGCCTGATCTACTGAGCCAGCAAACAGATCATTTGCTGGGGGCTGGGAGAGAGGGCACTCAGGGAGCCAGGGTCACTTTAACCAGCAATGTCCTGCAAACAAAAAAAAAAATCGCAGTAGATGACATGTCCTCCAGTTGCAATCTAACACTTTGCCCCCTTCCTTTGCCACGTGACCTAGTAGTCAGACAGGCCTATCCTATGACCTGGTACACCAGCTGCCTCTGCTGTTAGGTAACACACCAGAGAGCTGCCTGGTGCACTGGAGACCAGCACACCTCCTTGCTCCAGACTAGCTTTGATGCAGCCCCAACCCCAGCATCAACATCCTCTCCCCTTGACTGCCCTGGATCTTGTGCTGCTTAAGGCGTCAGTGACTGGGGACCTTCCCTGGGGTCCTCGATGTTTATCTGTAGGAGGTGAAGGGAGAGAAATAGAATACCAAGCAGCTAAGACACGACAAATGCAAAGAAACATGGTGAGAATAGTAGGACAGGCTTCTTTTTTTCCCCCCATTCCCAAGTCTCTGCAGATTAGAACAGATCAGCGAGAAGGAATGTACAAGAAATTTATATTGGAAGGACTCTATATACCAAGTATTGTACAAAATTAAAAAAGGACAAAATTTTTATCCCACCAAGATTAACAACTGGTCAAAAGAGTCTTTCATAACCTTGCATACCAACAATGGAACATAGGACAAAACCCAGTAATGGACCTAGAAAGGTTAACAGTCCCTTTCTGAGCTTGGCAACATGGAGCTGATTCACCTAAAAACGGAAAAGCCAGGTATTTTGACACCTAAAATTAGGTACTTCAGCAAATTTGTGTGGGAGAACAAACTATCAGACCCACACCTTGAGATCTGCACATTATTACTGTATTTGTCAAAATTGCCCTGAAAATGGCTCCAACTTCAGTTTCATATGGATACCCAAACTAACTCTCAAGTCTTTGTATGGAGATAAAGTGTTGCAGCTCATTCTAGCTACTCAGTTTAATCTACAACTGCAATTTTCAAGTTATTCTGGGCACTGCTCATTGTGTAGCTTAGCCTCAACAACCATTGTTCTACGTGAAACTGCTAAAAGGCTGATGAGCACTGCACCGATCTCTGTTCCGTGTTATTTGTTCCTCCAGTAACTTTGATAATAAATCATATTTGTATCAAATATTCTTTTCTTCTAGGTGTAAATCCTATGCTTGGAGATGTTATACAAGCATAGCTTCTAATCACCTTTGAACTGAAGTCAAAGATAATGATTCATGGAGTTTATCATAGCTGGCTTCTAAAGGACAAAGTTGAAAGCTTTACAGCAGACACAGTGAGACTTCAGTTTATTTCTGTTCTGCAGAACTGAAGGAACAAACGTGAGTACTATTATACACGCTAAGACAAACAATGCTAATGGAAAAGTAAAATCTAATTCCAACAACTTTTGTTAGGATGAAACTATTAACTTTTTATTTGCAATAACAGCTTGGTAGCTTTTACTACTGACATAGAAATGCAGAGATCCCTTTATGATATGTTAAAGTTCACAGATGGATCAGCTCAGAATTAATGGTGTAATTTCGATAAACCGAGTAGTATAGCACACTGGGTGGCTCTTTTAAGATGTGGTTTTGTCTAAGTACAAGAGACGTTGCATTGCCGAGACTATTCAGTGGCTGCATTATCAATAAAGATCCCAAAGCAAATCTTAAATTGGCAAAAGTTATCCTAAGTACATAAAAGTCAATACCTATTTATAATAACAGCAGTACATACAGCTTTGGGTATATTTTTATGATAGCACCAGAAGGCTCCGTACAGAACGTAGGGTTTCACTGTGCAGAATATTGCACTAATACATGGAAGAATATAGTCCATGGCAAAAGCACTTCAAAAATATAGTTCTTTTGACTTCAGATGTTTGGATGAAGATACAGATCAACTTTTTTGTTTAATCAAATGTCGTGCCAAAAAGATTTTTTTTTAAAGTATCTTTTAAAAATTAATAAATCAAATGGAAGAAAAAGGAACATTAATTCACTCTTCCAGTTAGATAAATCTAAACAGGTAACAGTTATACATCATCCAGATTTAAACCAACTTTTTCAGCCAGGATAAGAAATAGCAAGAAAAAGCCATTATTGCTTCACTATACCAAAAACAGTTACAAGCACGACAGCTAACAGTGCATTTCTAGAAAATCATAGAACTTGTGACTTAGATTACTTTGAATCTTGATAATATGTTTCCAGGTTTTGAATGCCTTACATTTTGCCATATAATAGAATATTGTCACCTAACAACTGCCTGAACAAGATTTGTGATAAAACACAGGTTTTCTGTAAAACTGAGATGAGTTAAAAAAAAAAGTCCATGTATCCTCCAAAACAGATCTCTGTATATTATTCATACACTACTGCCACAGTATTTGATCCCATCATAAATATATGTAGTCTCAGACAAATACTTCTTTGGCAGGGAAACTCATTTTAAAGATCTGGAACATACATAAAATGAATAGGTTTGTCCTGTTGTAACACAGTAATTGCTATAAAATCGCAGCTGAACCTGAATCACAAAATTATAACTGCGACCTAACCATAAGACCATTACTTTCCTGATAAACAAAAGATGCTCTAGAAATGTATTTGCAAATGCACTGGTTTTGGAAATTAATTTTGCTGGAGGAGGGTGTTTAGTTCACTAATACCTACTTTCTGCAGAAAAATTATTTTCAAGTTTCTTTTGAATACATACAATGAAGCTGTTTTAAGCACAAAGACATCACCTTAAGTAGAAAAGTAGGAATTTGAAGAGGTGTACCTTTTATGCAAAGTCATGTTTCAGGTTATAATTAATGAACAATCTGTGTAAAATCTACTCTGACAAGGACTCCGAGTGGAGCATCATGGAAAAAAACACATTCTTGAAGGCTTCCAGTTTATCTGTGCATCAGGACTGAAGAAAAAAACAACATGTAAATGGCATAGAGTTAGTGCATAGTATAAAAGCTCTAAAAAAACCCCAAACAATCCCCAAACAACTTCCTTCTAAAATAATACTTAAAGCTTGAAGGGACCATCTGATGGCAGCACTCCACAGAACAGGCAAAGAGCACACATGGTATCGTTGCCCACTCGCATAAAGCATATTTACTCCATTCTTAGTTTTTCCCATTTTCTGTCATTCCTTTTCCACATTACTTGAGTGAAAAGAGAACAAGGTATTTTTCCTTTATCTCTACTCACCACTGTGGGGAAGGGAAATAAGAAAATGTTTTAATCATTTCCTACCCCTACACTATCTGCACTTCATTCTCAGAAACTCCTAACACAAACCCCAAACTGTTGCATCAAACTCAGTCTTGAAGTTGTCAGCTATTTGCAACAGTAGACTGGGAACAGAGGAAGAAAATTGCACCCATGGTCTCAACCCTATCCACAGCTCTGAGATTGTTTCAGGGTAAGAGGATGGGACCTTGAGGGTAAATGTAACAATTACTGAAAATACTACTGTTTATTTATAAAGACACAGGTCTTCAGGTAATATTGTGCTAATAGTATATTACTATCTTTTACTATTTCTGAGTGGAATATTGGTTGGAATATCTAGCTTTTAGGAAACCTCATTCTTACGAAGTTATCACACACTGATGTTTATGTTGCATTGAGCTGCTTAGATTTAGGAAGGCTAACTATTAATTAACAGCACAGTTTAACCATGGCAGAAAGTTTCTTCTAACAAACATTAAACCATCAAATACATCACCAGTTTTATACTTGGCAAAAATCCTCCTGTATTTTCACCTTTTCAAAAATACATTGCTGCCCTCAATATAGCCCAAAACAATGTAATCAATCCAATCCCTAGTTCAGTTATACCAGGACCCATCACATCAACCCTGTTAATATGCTCCTCTGAAATGGGGGCTTCTGACTAGCAACCTACTTCTCTAGCTTTGCATAATGACTACAGTGTCAGCCATTAAAACCTGTAGATACACTACAGCAGTGAATCACTCACTCAAGCTCAAAATAAGAGACCTTAAAAATACTCAATGTTAGAAAAAACCCCATATAATTAATCGACAAAATTAAAATGGCTTCCAAAGGCAATCTAAAATGGGAAGTTAGCTGAAATATGCAAACCAGTAGCATTTACTCAACTACTCAGTATAAAAGTTTGTTCCCTGTGGTAAACTGCTGTGTTAAACATCTTCAGTAAGGCATTTGGACTTTTGCTTGTGCTTCAAAAAAAGAAGGCACATTAAACCACCACATTCCTCTGAAGGGAAAGAAAAATGGTTGGAGACTACCGACAAGAACCAAAAATTATTCTGTTGTAGAGAAGCAGAGACAGGATATTGAAATAGCAAATGGACTGAAGAAATCAGAATAAAGTACTGAACTTGTTGAGAAGGGGGAAGCCTGAGGAGCTTTTCCACTGTGCCTAGCTGTGCTGAAAGCACACTCCATCCCTTGCTAGACACCTTTCTTTAAGCCAGGAAGTTCAGCACTTCCAAACACAGACAAGTCTATCACTGCTCTTGAGTTCAGATGAAAAATACAAAAATTGGCACTCTCCCAAACTAGAACTTTGCAAAAGTCTGCTCTACGGTCCAGAAAAATGGGGTATATATGGCATTTCATACACTAAAATAAGCTGACATGCAATTTCCATTCTGAAATCTTTCTAGGACTTCCTAGTCTGCGATTTGGCACATGAGAATTCTCTTCCTGCCAAGACAACACGGATTATAGTAGTGTTTCATATTCAGCTAATAGGCATTAATTAAAGTCTGTAAGAACAATTTTGGATACAGAGCTTCTAAGGTCACCTGCAGTTATGATTAATGCTTTAAATGTAGAAAGACTAAGGTAATACACCTGTGTCATAGAAAACATCATAGGCATCGAGAGTAGTCTACAAAGCCACATTTATTTGCACATGTACAGAACAGAGCGACAGATGTTATTGTTTTCCATACAAAATTATATAAAAACAGTATTCACCTTCATAGATAACACCATACCACTTTAAGGTGTATTAAATACATTCAGAAAGCATTCTTGCACGCACACAACATTAGTATTAGGTAGTCCCAGGTAACTCCAACACTGCAATGTAATTATTCCTAGTGGTATGAAGGGATCAAAGATTAGTCTGCAACTAAAAAAGAATCCTGGTCAAGAAGCAAGCTGAAGTCTTTCTTCCACTGGTTACCAAAGCAAAGAACATCATTAAACAGATTAACTGTCTCCAGAACATAGATGCAAATACTACCAAAGCACCTGCAGAAGGCAGGTAAGAGGGGTATTCCAGACTGACTGGAGCTATCTTGGCTGGTGTTAACATTCCCATTTAATCACTGCTTGCCTATGGACAGGAAAAAGTTTTCTAAAACCGGAAGATAGAATGGAGTCAGAGTTTGTCATTACAGAAGAAAACAAAAGGTATAGATCCAAATCCATTACATTCCTTTCCTACCCAGCACAGGAGAGATTACTCCCTTTACTGGGTCTTCAGATTCTCATTCTTGCAAGGAATAGAGGGGGAAAGCAAAATCTTAGGTTTTCTGCAACACTGCCTCCCTACATATGATCTAAAAGGGGTATTTAATTGTCAACAGGACATCTCAAACAATTTATTTAAAATGCACATTTATTTCTACAAAAAAAAAAAAAGTGTATGATACAGAAGAAGTGATCACACCTACTTAAAAGTTTACCTATTAAAATATACAGAGGATCTTAATGAGTACAGGATATTTAAAAAAGATGCAAAGGAGTGTTAATCTTTTATTTTTACATTTTCAGGAACTTCACATAATTTTGGTAAGTAACCTTCTACAAAATTATGTAAAAAGTACAAGAATGCCTGGTAAACAGTCTGCATTTTTCCAAAAGATTTTTTACAGCATGCAATTCTTAAGGCAGCCTTCTCCTCCTCCTCACAAGGAATCCTTTCACTCAAATAATCTTCCGCTGCAAAGATTAGGCTAAGGAAGCTTGGTCTCTTCTGTTAACGCCTTTTGTCTTTCCTGTCTGATTTACGGTCTCTTTCACTCCGTGAAGTTCTCTTGCCTGACCGACTACTTTCTGATATAGACCTCTTTCTGTCAGATCTTGAACTTTTATCCTTTGAGCTTTTGGTATCTCTATTCCCACCTTTTGATGACTTGTGACTTCTATCTACTCCTGACGCATCCCTTCGCTTCCTGTCTGTGCTCCTTCTGCGTTTTCTGTCTCTATTATGCCCTCTTCCTCGGCTTCGACTTCTACTTTCACTACTGGTAGAGCTACTGCTGCTACTGTCCCTGCTAGTAGTTCCACTTGTAGTGCTGCTGCTGGTGGAACTACTCCGACTGCTACTGCTGCCAGTGCTGGAACTACTTCCACTAGTAGTACTGCTTGAAGTACTACTGCTACTACTGCTGCTGCTACTACGGCTATGACTCTTACCAGTTTTGTTCCCTACCCTACCCCTGCTTCTACTCCTAGTCTTACTTTTAATTTCTACACTTGGTGTCTGACTCTGCTCTGTCTGTGCCTCAACAACCTTTGCAGACACCACAGCATTTTCATCCTTGTCTGCCTGGGGCTCTGTATCCTGAGTGGACTGAGACAACTGAGGTGACTGCGGCAGTGGCACAGACTGCGGCTGAGATACAGCCTCAGCCACAGGTTCTGGCTGAGCTTCAGGTGCCTTCTCCTGTTTTTCTTCAGGTTCAGCTTCAGTGTCTGGTTTGATACCTTTCTCCTTCTCAGGAGAAGGAACATTACTCTCTTTTTCTGGCTGAGCATCACAATCTGTTTCTGGTTCCACTTCTTTGCCATTTTCATTTTCTACAGGCTCTACACTATCTGTCTCATTCATTTCAGCCACGTCCTGCTCATTATCCACTGGCTGAATGTTTTCACTTTCCTCTTTTACAACTGCGACCTCTTCATGCTGACCATCCTGTTGCTTGTCATTCTCCCTCACCTCGGTAGTCTCTTCTACTTTAATCTCCATTTCATGTTTCTGTTCATCCTCTTCCTGTTCTTTCTCTGCATCGCTATGCCCTGAACCTATTTTCCCCTTTTCCTCCCCTACCTCCTCCATTTCTACATCATTGTGCTGATTACCTGTCTCCATCTCTTCCACCTGCTGAGCCACCTTACCCTCTTCCTGCTCCTTGTTCTGTTCTTCCTTCTTTTCTTCGTGCTGCACCTCCTGCTGTTCTTTTTCCTTCACAGGATGCCTTCTGGGCCTGGCCTCCATTTTGTTAATCTGCTCTGCAAATTCATTTCGCCTGCTTTCAAAGAGTGCTAGGGAATAAATGCAAAAATAATAGTTTCAGATAATCTACAGACACTGAAGTCTATCTTCCCCTTAACAATGAGCTAATAAGTTACCAAATTGTTTTAACTTATGAATATTGTATCCTTATTAATTCTGAAGTAGCAAGCCATTCATGCATATAAGACTTCTAGTTACCTTAAGACAACAAAGCAAACGGGATAGTCAGCTCAGCTGAGTATCAGAGCAGTAAAGCCTTAAATCTAAGCTAACTAAAAGAGTTTGACTTCATTAAAATCAATCCAACCAACAGGGTATCAAAATAATACCTTAGTTTCCTGGTATTTATATATTAACAAGGTTATACTTCCTAAGGTAAACACAAGACAGCAAGAATCATCAAAAAGCTGGTTAGGTATCAAGAAAGCTTAAATAATGTAAGCTATTCAGACAGGTAAGCTAGCTTCTCTTGTCCCCCAGCCCCACACAATGAAGAAAAGCTCCTTAAGAAAAAACCCCCAATACATTCTCAGGTTAATAAAAAAGAACAGTAGGACTACCATCAACTGCAGTATTTTAAACTGTTTTCCAAAAGAAAAATATGGTCATCCTGTGAAACAGAAATGAATACACATTAAGGTAAAAAATTATATCATAAAGTTCTAGTGTTGTGCTTAAGAAAATGCTTCTCAAATCCTTTGCGAAAACCTGCATTTCCTTGGATCTTCAATCCACAGAGTCTGCCTTTTCAAAAACTAAGCTGCTGCATTGGCATTAATATAAAAGACTATGTTTTAAACACATACCTCAGATTATGCATACACCTCTTCTGACTTCTTGTAAGAGAATCAAAGCACATCCAACATAAAAATAAGTCACTGAAAGAGTAACGTTCACTTATGATGAACGCCGGTGCAAGAACACTCAGTTCATCCTAACCATGAAATTCGTGTATTTAAGCAGAGAAACTTGAAAATTTGTACTGCAAAAACATCAAAGGGGGGCAAGAACAAAAGCCTTTGTATCACAAAGGCCACTTACCATTCATCTTTTTCTGTGACTCTTCCATCAA